AGTAAGAGAGAGAAAAGGAGTTGAAAAAGTGATCCAAAAGTCGGATCTCGGATTTAAATAAAAGTCGCCCCGCTCGAGCGTGGAAACCCTCGCTCGAGCGTCACTCACAGACTCCCGCTCGAGCGTCAACAATCCCGCTCGAGCGGCGGATACACACTTCCAGAACTTTTTACTGAACCAGGTCTCCGCTCGAGCGTCAACTCTCCCGCTCGAGCATCACACACAACACCCCGCTCGAGCGTCAAAACCCTCGCTCGAGCGTACAACACTGCAGAGAAGATACTGGAAGATGGAGAAATACGCTCGAGCGCCGAAACTCCTACTCGAGCGGACAAACAACAACGAAGGGCCCGCTCGAGCGTCAAAAGCCCCGCTTGAGCGTGAAGGCCAAAATCTGGGCAACTACTCTTGGTTTCTAAGTTCAACCAACCTGTTTCAAACCTGCCCAACACAACCCAAGACTCGAATACAAGGAGTAAAGGATGTAAACAAGATATATACAACAACTAACTCCATGGAACCTAAGTCCGAACACAACGATCAAAGGAAGGGAAATCAGGATCGCTATAAATAGAATTTAACTTTTTAAAGTGATTTGAAGGCTAATCTTTTTATTATCTAGCTTGAATTTCTTATTGTGTGATATGTAACTGAATTTCTGCCGAGCTTTCCTTTGAATCGTAAAAAATCTTCTTCAATATTATTGTGTGAAATAATTTGGTATTTAACAAGAAGAATCCGGATTGGGAAATCGTTCTGGATAGAGTTATGTCCAACGTAACATCTTGGGCAAAAACTAAGGAGTTCAAAGAATTCTCAGTGGTTGATTTTATATTTGATTTTGTTAGTATTAGAGCTTGTCTGTGATTTGATTTTATGCCTCATGGATGCTGCTGCTTTAACTTGGTTGATGATACTTTACTTGATTTGTTTATTAATCAAGTGGCTACTCTGTTTTGAGTTGCTGGTGTATCTTGGCCTGATTGCTTTGTTGCTGTTTTGAGTTGTTGCTTTATCTTGGCTGAAACAAAGTGTTTCATTTCTAAAATTGAACTTTAAAAACTCAAAATCATGTTTAAAAGTTGGAAATATGATTTGTTACATGTTGCAACCACCTCACTCTTGATGAAACATCGTGTCTAAGTGGACTCTTAGAGATTGTAATTAGGTGCTATAATCATTTTTAACATGCTAGAATTTTTATTTAGATTAGAATATGTTGGAATTTGAGTTCAAGTACTCTAGGTAAGTATTAGATCATGAGATTTGTTTAAATACTAGATTTAAAAATATGAAGAAAAAAAAAAAGGTTTTTGGTAAGTGGGTAGGAAAAAAAATGGAAGAAAATGAAGTTTATTTCTCCTTTATTTTATTTTAAATTGGAAGAACATGAGCTATTTCTTTGTTGTAGGTAGGTCACCTCTTAAACAACCTCGGAGAGCTATGTTCCCCAACATTTCGGTAGACTCCATCACATTGGTATATGATGATTGGCATGGGCTAGAAAGATGCATATGTTGAGAAGACTTTCAATTTTTATCTTAATCTTGAAATATTTGAACATGGGATTGTGAGCTATTAGGATGATATTGAGACCATCACAGTTTTTACAATAAGCTTTGAGCTGTCCTAGATACAGATTGTCCTAGAAACTGGATCTTATACCACAGTCAGTGCTTATCAACATGCTGACTGACCACAACAAAGTATTCATAACGAAAGGAAAAATCTACACAATTTTTATCATGTGAAAAGAGTCGGCCAATATGAAAGAACAAGTGGGAAAGAACAAAAGCTCCACATGAGTCCTTCAAAACATGAAAACTGCAAGTGAGAGGAACTACCATTAAAGCACCATACATAACCCCCCCCCCCTCAAAAAAAAGTCATCTCAACAAAATAATTAAAAAAAATTCAAAAGCATGAAATTTTTCAAGAGGCAAATGAAGTTGAACAAAGACACAAAACCCTATAAAGCACGGACACCTCTCCGAAGGCAACGTATGGGTGTCCGACACGTGTCGAACATGGACATGCGTTGGACACGTGTCAGACACTCTACCTAACTTGTCCCCCCACTTTTCTTTTTCTTTTTTGCAGCTAGACACTCTTGATCATGTTATAGACACATTGGAGACATAAACCCTACCCCATTGGAGATAGAGAGAGAAACTCTAATCATTGAAGATAGAGACAGAGATAGAGAAAGAGAAAGGGTGAAGAACCTATTGAAGCCCTAGATCAAGGTTTGTTATTCCAATCTGTGTGTTTGACTCCCTCTCTCCCTCTGTTCGGTGCTTAGTGTGATCCCAACCCTCAAATTTGAATTCTCTCTTCACAGTCGCTTCCTCTACGGCTCAACTAATGGATCGAATCGAATGTAATTGCAAAGAAGCCCAAAGATCCACCAAACAATGGCAATTCTAACTCTGGTTCTAGTTCGTCCAAGATTTTTGAAACCCTTTTCAAAGATGTCCCAAAACAAAACACCTTCATCTTCTTCGTTTCTTTTGTCTCTCTCTCTCTCTCTCTCTATCTCTCTCTCTCTCTCGCTGTGTTCGTCTCTCCCTCTTTCTCTATTCGATTCTCCTTTTGCTTCTTTGTTCGTCTCTCTCTCATTTTCTTTGTGTTTTGACTGTCTATCTCTCTCATATCCACCCAAATAAAGACTGTCGTCTCTCTCTCTCTCCCCTCTTCTTTATTGTTTTCTTTTTCTTTGTTTTTACCTATTTTATTTTTGGTAACAAAAAAATCTTTTTTATTACCTCTTTTACTTTTTTTTTTATTTTTTTAATATTATTTTTTGTTAAAAATTAATTATTTTTATTTGTAAAAAAAATTAATTTATGAATGATATTTGATATTAAAAAAAAAATAATATAAATAAAAATAAATATATCTTTTTTAATTTTACATATAATAAATAAATAAAATTATATCTATTGAGCGTGTCCCCAACATGTCGTGTCCCTCATTTTTTAAAAATTTACGTGTACACATGTCCGTGTCCATGCTTCATAGACAAAACCAATAAAGTCCATCTTGTTTAAATCTCTATAGTTCAATATTCATAATTTTTCAAACTAAATACAAAGATCCCTACTACAAATACAACCTCTATCAATATCAAAAATATTTCACAAAAGCCAACATGTACATTGATAAGCCTCTTCCTCCCAAAACTGTTTAACCATCTACCTCCAAAAAGCCATATCCAAATCAAGGATGCATATAACCAACTATACAAAATGATATTAGAATCTTAACTGGGATAATCAATTGCTCTTTGAAAATAAATTAAGTTATTATTTTTATCAATTCAATTTCAAACAGGCCACACTTCTCACTACTAAAAAAAAAAAAAAATCAATGTGTTTGGTTTCAGTTTTCTGAATTCAGTTTTCTAAAAACTGAGTCTTTTATTTTTTGTATTTTTTTGTTTTTAGTGAATATTTTTAAAATTTTAAATATATTTTTTATTTTTTTAGATGCACCTTACTTATATGTATCTAAAATAGTAAAATATTTGTGAAAAAATATTTTAAAAAATTAATAAATACACAAAAATATGAAAATGTACTGAATTTTCGCATTTTTTTTTTGTATTTTTTGATATTTAGTGTATTTTTTTTTAAATTTACAAATATTATACTTTTTAGTGTATTTATGTTAGATGTGTCTAAAAATAAAAAAAAATGCTTAAAATATTAAAAAATTTCATTGAAAACATTTAAATACGAAAAATAAAAGAGTAGAATTTTCTTGAAACTGTTTTCTGAAAACTGGAACCAAACAAGTTGATACTTTTTGCGACCGCTACAAGCCGTCACAAAAAATAGAAATACAATCGCAAAAAGTTTTTTGCAGCGGCAAATGGGGGACGCAAACATGGGGGTGGAAAATACTTTTTGCAACGGCGAACTTATTACGTCTGCCGTTTTGCCATCGCAAAAAAAAATTAAAAAAATGCTTACTATGTTTTAGTGACCATCTAGTTACTGTCACAAATAGTATTCAATGACATTTGTTCCACAAAATTAATTATTATAAGGGTAAATTACACTGACACCCCTTGAGATTTCTATTTAATACAGATCTCCTCTTCACGTTTGAAAAATTGCATTCCCCTCCCTGAAATTTGTAATCTCATTACAAATTGCGCCATGAATTGCCGATATCATGCTCTAAAATTTTTTTAATGACCATTTTGCCCTTTTTCCTACCGTTCCTTTTCCCTATCATGATGACTACATTCTACAACTTTCCATCATTAAATTCTATTTGAACATATTGTTATTGAGTGATGATATACAAACATAAAATTTATATAAAATTTTGAAACACAATAACATAGCTTAATAGTAACCTTTCACTTTAGAACAAAACATCAGTAAACATGATTTATATTTACGACATCACTATCACAACATTTTTATGATATTTTTTGTATAAATTTTTATATATGAATAGAATTTTTCATTTTTATTTCCACCATCATTTTTCTTTCTCATTTATTCACCCACATTTATTGCAGTATTACGAAACACCGTCATTCACATATATTACAGTATTACTGAATTTTTGTATTTTTTTTTGTATTTGGTGAATTTAAAAAAAAAAATCACAATACATTATACTTCTTAAGTATATCTAGAATAGGTGTATCTAAAAAAAATTTAAAAAAATGTTAAAATATTAAAAAAAATCAGCTAAAAAAATAAATAAATAAAAATAAAAAAAACACACAAAATAAAAAAAATTAATTTTTTGTGTGAATTAAACCAAAGAAGATAATTGTTATTTATCTTGAAATGGCATGAACAAAATATCAGCATTGTTTTATTATTTTATATGTATAAAGGCTAAGGGACAAATATGTCATTTTAATCTGACAATGTGGTATGTATAATTTTTCAAACATGAGGAGGGGATCTGTATTAAACAAAAACCTCAAGGGGTGTTAGTGTAATTTACCCTTATTATAAATATGCATTTGTTACAACAAAAATATCAACTGCAAGCACCTAACAAATTTTTTTATATGAAAAATAACATAAAAATAACAAATTAATTTAAACATGTAATAGAAATATCAATCTATGTTTTCATGACAAGTAGTGGGACTGCAATAAAAAAAATCAAAAGAATAAAACTTGCTTTTGAGGGTTAAAAGATAACCTACATCTTTTTTGTTCAACACAAAGAGTCCTCGTTTGGGGAAAGCTATTCATCTTTCATCAAGTTAGGTACCTGGAACATTGGAGTAATGCCAATGCCTCCAGCAAGCATCCCAAAAGCTCTAACTTGGGCCGGTAGATACTTGAATCTTCCCTGGAGACACCACACATACATTAACTACAAAGATTTGAAAAACATGAACGTAGTTCAAAACCTTGACTTCAAATAACCATCTCAACTTCAGAAAAGAAATTTACACATCATGAGCTTCTCTGAATGTCTTAAAATATACTCAATTGAATGTTTATAGAAAAGTGTAAACAACTCAACATGTAATAATTGCTAGAGAACTATCTTAAGAAAGTCAAAGCCAAACAATATGTTGTCCTATTCAATCCCTACAGACTTACAACCTTTCTTATACCTTCTTCTAGAACCTTAAAAATATACAGGCTTTTCTTGCCCTAAACTTGCCACAAAGCCAAATCGAACAATAGATAATAGCATACCAAGTTTTCCAAAAGCTAATCAATTGTACCTGCAAATTAGAGGCAAAACTGATAATTATCACATGCCCATGAAGCAAAAACCTAATTGACAAAAATTTCAAATGGGCACATAACAAAGCATATTTACACAACTTTAACTTGATTACTATCTTCAACAAAATGTACAAATTTAGCCAAAATTTTTCATTTTAACTCTTTAATTGGTAAAGGCCCTTGCAGTGACAAGTATAATCACTAATTGCCAAAAATTTTCCAACCTTTTCATTATATCAAACCCCAATGATCGTGAAATAGAAATAGGGAAATAGCATGGGCTTTAAATTCTTATCAGATCATATACACATAATATAGATTTTTAGAACCAAATAAAAAACCCTAGATTCCACATCATGGTACATATGAAAATACAATGAAACTTAGTTGCAGGAATCGCGCAACTAGGTGGCGATTCTGAGTAAGAATCGCGATTCCGCGATTCCTAGAAAGAAACGTGTAAGAATCGCATTTCTGTGGAGAGAGAAACGTGATTCAGTCCAAGATGGGATCGTAAAGGAGAGAGAGAGAGAGAGAGAGAGAGAGAGAGAGAGAGAGAGAAACCCTAACCTTCGACGTCGACATGAGAGGAGAAAGGGCTTCGATCATCTTCGTCACTCTCGCGATCGTCTTCGTCACTCTCTCGATCGTCTTCGTCTTCGTCACTCTCTCTGTGCTTCTCTCTCTCTCTCTCTTCGTCTTTGCTTCTCTACAATTACTTTAAAAAAAAAACCAAGTTTTGAGCCATTTAACACAATAAACTTTGTATTTTTAATTTTGTCAATTTATAGTTGGCCCAAAAAAAGATAAATACTATCCCACAAGTCATACCCAACCAAGTTCTAATCACCCTTACAAAGATGTGAGGTGAAGAACCTGCATCAACAAAAAAAAGCACCTTTCACACATACAACTCAAAATGTGCAAAAAGGGTCCCATAAACTAGATCTTTCCACAAGTTCATCCTTGGGCTTGGGCTGAGTTTTATCCTAGAAACTCAATTACAGTTGGATTCAAATGGATTGGACAACAGGTACCGCCTCTTACACTAAGACCACCAATTTCACAACCACCATCACCACCGTCATCATCGTCGCCACTCCTTACCACCATTTCAACTCCACTAGTATCATTACTCTATCACCACCACTGTCACTGCCTACACCACCACCGCCATTGCTACCACCCTACTACCACATCCACCTTCACCTCCAAAATTATCATATTTTAAAATCTTTAAATGAATCAAATATATTTTTGTTAAAAAGATACTAGAGTGCAATGGTTAGTTTTATGGGAGAGTACTTTAATCATCATCTGGTCTTCGAATAATTAGCAGACTTGAGCTAATAATTTCTTTTATTTATGTTATGCTAATAAAAACTTATAATAAAGGGAGTTCCAACAACATTTTCATTAAATTAATCATATAACTACAAAAGTAAAATAAATAAATAAAATCATAGCTTAATTTGTGATAAATGAACACAAAATCCAAGAATGATTTCCCAACATAGAATGCTTTCGTTTCTTGCCACTATTAATTTGTGATAACACAAACTCCTATCTATATGCTTTAAAACGGTGGGGTAAAAAACAAACACATAGTATTGTACACTAATCCCAAAGAAAATAAACCAAACTCAAATTAGCTGGAGAAGCCCAAAGATGTACACAATAAAAACCAAAACCACCCACCCACCAGGCACTCCCAACATAATATCACCCCAATCAAAACCAACAACCATCTCATGTCATTGACCAACTACCCCCTTCTATGTATCATGACATTGTTATTCACAAATCATAAGATAACTAAATTAGGAACCAAAATTAGATACAAAAACAGACAATCAATTTTAGATAATTAAAAACAATAAGAAGCATGTTGGACCCACCACATTGGCCTATGCGAATTCAATGGTTAGCTTTTATATAAATAGCACCAATGTAAGTAATGGTTGACTTATATGACAATATGAGTTACAGAGCTCTAATGTGCTCACATGAGTTTAGCGACACCATTCATCCCACAATATACCAAGTACTTGACAAAAGTTCATATCTGGAATTCATATACATTTCAAATATTTAAATATCAGATTTCAAAATTCAACAACAATTTCAATATTCATCAACAGATTAATTACATTCTCAATAATACAAAGGACATCATATCCAAACTACACATTTCAATATTATTGAGATTTATGAATCAAAATCACAGTTGAATTAGCATGTTGTCATACACGCCAAATTAAGTCATTCTTCTCACATGCAGGGGATGAAAACAAAGACATTTATTTAGATAACAACAATACTAGGTATCATGAAAAATCTTTCATGAAAATAATCATGAAAGTTTTGTGACCTTTGGATTACACTTAGAATAAAGCACCACACACTAATCAAGGTAATCTAAGGATCATAAATTTTTCAGGATCATTTTCATGAAAAAAATTTCATGATCCCTAACTTTTTCCTTTAGATAATCAAAACAATAACACATTAACCAACAATACCAAAACAGAAAGTAATATACCTTAGGAAAATAGTAAACGGGGTATGATCTACCTGACCACATTTATCCATCAACTAGAGATGGTAGCTACTGCAGAAAATGTAAATATAGCTAAGCTTTAGAAATCTGGGAAAAGGGAGGGAGATAGAGAGAGACAAAGATAAATCGAAAGGTGGCGGTGGCGGTGGCGGTGGCGAAATGGTAGTTGTTGATCGAACGGTGGTGGCAACTTCCAATTGTAGGTGGAACCGGATGAAGAAAATTGCTGCACAAACACCAACAAACAATTATCAAACTGCCATTCCACCATAGGAATCCCTCTGTCAACTGAGAGGGAATGGATGGATGGGATGAGGTGAGAGGAAACCGTGAGAAAGGGTTCTACACAAAGAGAATGGAGACAAAGAGAGTTGAGAGAATCTAGGGTTTTGTTAAAGATTACAAGGGAATTTATTTTTAGGGCAAAATTTTGGAGGTTTGATTCAAATTCTGGGAAAAAATCAATAATTTAATGGACACCTAGAAATAAAAGATAAAAAAGAGATCAAATGAGTTCTCTCTCCTTTTAACTTGTGGTTCTTCCACAATTCCACGTTGTCGTAGGCCTCTCTTTATAACATTTTAGCATTTTATAACACGTGCAATAGTCAAATTTATAAAATAATATATATATATATATATATATATATAAGGATGTGTTGGGCAGATTTGTTACAGGTTGGTTGAGATTAGAAACCAAAACTAGTTGCCCAGATTTTGACCTGTCCACTCGAGCGGGGGTTTTGGCACTCGAGCGGGAGTTTCACCCATCCAGTATTCCCTGTGCTGTGTTCGACGCTCGAGCGTGGGATTGGCCGCTCGAGTGAGTTTGTGTGAGTTCCGCTCGAGCGGGGAGTTGGAAGCTCGAGCGGGAGACCTGTCTGCAAAAAGTTCTGGGAGTGTGCATCCGCCGCTCGAGCGGGATTGTTGACGCTCGAGCAGGAATCTGTGAGTGATGCTCGAGCGGGGAGTTTGACGCTCGAGCGGGGCGACTTTTATATAAAGCCGAGTTCCGACTTTTTGTTTCACTTTTCAACATCCTTTCTCTCTCCTACTTTTCTAAAAAGCTATTTTGAGAGTTCCTCTCACTAAAACCCTAACTTCTCTCTTAGGATTGATCTAGTAGGAGTTATTTTCTCACCTTGGGCCTTTACAAAAGTTGTGTTGATCGTCGAGGGCTACCTTTTAATCTGAAAATTTCGAGATTTGGAGCATTTCCGTTTCTTCACCTCCTTCGTTGGGTCCCATTATTCGAGGTAGGGATAACCTACTCCATCTTATGAGCTTTGTCTTTGAATTTTAGCATTTTGATATGTTGGGGGCGTTGTTGGGTAATTTTGAGAAAGTTTGGGCCTTTGTGCAGTTTTACAACAGTTGAGGTTTTAATCATATAAAACCTAAATGCGTGTTTGGCATGGAAAAGTGAAATTAATGTTAAAACATTAATGAAAATGGAACCTAAGGGTTGTGATGTTAATTATAGAATATGCCCTAATTACATTGGTTAATTAATTTGTATAATTAATTGTTGGAAATGAGGAATTGTGTTGAAAATGTTGAAATTGGGAATGTATGGGACTAAAGAGTGTAGTCGAATCTTTTATTGCTCATCTAGTTGAAATGTTGATATATTATCCATTGGTGCATTTATTTCCTGCTTAGAAATAATTGCTTTGGGCTACCGGTGGAGGGTAGTGTTGATTGTTGTAGACAATGCATGATGATTAGGCAAACTAAAACTAGTCAATTGGATGTGTCATAGAGTATGACGGTTGATAGAATACATTAACTTTATGTATCTGTGGATTGTGCATATGACCAATGTGTTTATATGCATTATGTGTAGACGGTTGATAGAATGCATTAATTTTATGTATTGATTGATTGTGTATGTGATTCTGTGTTTATATGCCTTACTTGTGTATGGGAGGAGATGGGGGATGCACTCCACGGTTTAGGGGAAGATGGGGGATGTACCTCTAAACCGGTTAATGGTTAATGGTTTAGGGGAAGATGGGGGATGTACCTCTAAACCGGTTATTGGACTGTTGATACAGCTCATATCCTTATCTGTTGAAGTGTTGATACAGCTCATATGCTTATCTGTGGTAGTATTGATATAGCTCATATGCTTATCTGTTGAAGTATTGATATAGCTCATATGCTTATCTGTTGTAGTAGTGATATAGCTCATATGCTTATCTATTGAAAAGTTTGTTTGATTTGATATAGCACTAAAATGTATATCATTATTGTTTGTGAAACATGGAAGTAGTTTATGTGTTATTGATACAATACCAAAATGTGTATCCACCTTGGATTTCGAAAGTGTTCTAGTGATGAACTATAATCTCATCAAATGTTTTGGCCAGAGTACTGAGCCTTGTTTTCAAACTCAAAGTTGAATAAGAAAAGAAAAGTGAATTGTAACATAGA